CCTACGAAGAACTCTGTAGGGTAAGGCAGGTCCTAGTCAACAACGGCTTCTCCAATGGTTTCGTCGAAGACATCATAAGAAGGAAAGTGAAACGCCATGCAACCTCTGAAGAGACAACCAACACAACACCTATACCCCCTATTAGACTATTTTACAGGAACTTCTTTTCCACAGCTCATAAAACGGAGGAAAGGGTCCTGAAAGATATTGTTAAGAGAAACGTTATCCCTACAGACAAAAATCAGAGGATACAACTGACGATTTACTATAAAACCAGAAAAACGGCCAGCCTACTCATGAGAAACTCTCCAGACACAAAACAGAACGCTTTAAAAGAGACCAACGTCGTCTATGCCTTCAAATGCCCTCTTGGGGACTGTAAGCTCCAAAAAACCCAGTATATAGGCAAGACAACAACATCTCTTTCTAGGCGTTTAACGATGCATAAGCAACAGGGCTCCATTAAGGAACATATAATCTCTTCCCACAACCAAACCACCGCCAGAGAAATCCTAGTAAACAACACAGAAATCATCGATAGATACAGCGATAGCAGGCGGCTTGACGTTTGCGAGGCACTACACATCAAGAAGTCAACACCAGCAATCAACAGCCAATTAATGCACAACTATATTCTACCCACCTCAAGACTCCGCTCCAATATAGAAGCATCAAGAAATATGGACCAATAGGCTTTCTACAATCACTTCTATTCAAATACCCATTGTTTCGTGTTCTGTCTTGTTGATGAAATTAATACCTTATTAAATACCACCTCACCCCATCCACCTCACTCAAATGTAGATATAAACAAATCGGAGATGTGTAAGTTCTATTCAGTTGTGTATGTTTAAACTAAAGTCTTTGAAAATGTAATAAGTTTTACGAAACGCGCTCAAGTGTCGCGTCAGACTAAAAATAAAAATGAATTTTGGAGAATTGATTTTTGAATTACCACCAACAGTGAAAAGAAATGCACGAAAGATTGAAAAAATTCGTGTTAGAATTATTAATCTTACTTTTTCGGTCATATTTAATAATATATATATATAATATTGTCGTACCTAGTAGCCAGAATGCACTTCTCGGCCTCCTGTGCAAGGCCCGGTTTACTTTTAAGTAAACTACAAAACGACCACCTTGTTTGTGTCAACCTTCCATTACCTTGTTGCTATTAAGACTATCTAAGAGTGAGTGATTTAAACATATACTTACCTGTTACCAATTGATTAGTATTCCCTGGGGCCACTACTATATTACTACTATTCCACTGAGGTGTTACTGGACACGGTAAACACCAGTTGGCGACCTATAGTGAGCGGTAGAGCCCTCTGTCGGGACGGGCACATGATCAGGTGAAGTGATCGTGTTCTCACTCGTCTTTAGGCTACGAGGCCAGCCGGAGACAGACTGAGAGACTCTTCTGGTGAACAGTGGCACCGTGAGGATCGAGTGCAGACCCGTGGGGGCTACCGTAAGTAACGTTTATCACTACTAATACTTGGTGGTGACTGGCTAGAGAGAGAGACACCCCGACAATATATATATATATTACTGACTTACTGTCCATACGGTACCTTGAAGTGGGTAGAATATAGTTGTGCATTAATTGGCTGTTGATTGCTGGTGTTGACTTTTTTATGAGTAGTGCCTCGCTGATGTCGAGTCGCCTGCTATCGCTGTACCTATAGATGATTTCTGTGTTTTTTGTTCAGATTTCTCTGGTGATGGTGTGGTTGTGAGAAGAGATTATATGTTCCTTGATGGAGCCCTGTTGTTTATGCATTGTTAGTCACCTGGAAAGAGACATTGTTGTCTTGCCTATATACTGAGTTCTTTAGGGATTACAGTCCCCAAGTGGGCATTTAAAAGCATAGACGACGTTGGTCTCCTTCAAAGCATTCTGCTTGGTGTTTTGGGAGTTTTTCATGAGTAGATTGGCCGTTTTTTGGTTTTATAATAAATTATCAATTGTATTTTCAGATTTTTGTCTGTAGGGATGACGTTCCTATCAACAATATCTTTCAGGACCTTTTCCTCTGTTTTATGAGCTGTCGAGAAGAAGTTCCTGTAAAATAGTCTAATAGGGGGTACATGTGTTGTGTTGGTTGACTCTTCAGAGGTTGCATGGTGTTTTACCTTTCTTTTTATGATGTCTTCAACAAAACCATTAGAGAAGCCGTTGTTGACTAGGACCTGCCTTACCCTACAGAGTTCTTCATCGACTTGCTTCCATCCTGAGCTGTGGCTGAGAGCACAGTCGATGTAAGCATTGACAACACTCCTCTTGTACCTGTCTGGGCAGTCACTATTGGCATTTAGGCACATTCCTATGTTTGTTTCCTTAGTGTAGACCTCAATGTGGAAGCCTCCGCTCCTTTCCGTGACTGTTACATCTAAAAAGGGCAGCTTCCCATCCTTCTACATCTCGTAAGTGAAACTCAACACAGAATTCCGCTCAAATGCCTCCTTCAGCTCCTGCAGACCTCTGACATCAGGTATCTGTGTAGAAATGTCTTCAACATACCTGCAGTATATGGCAGGTTTCAAGTCCATGTCAACTAAAACCTTCTGCTCGATGGTAAACATGTAGAAGTTCGCAAACAGGACGCCTAGGGGAGAACCGATGGCGACCCCATCTACTTGCTTATATATGTGCCCATCTGGGTTCAAGAAGGGTGCCTCTTTAGTACAAGCTTGGAGTAGTTTCCTTAGTATGTTTTCTGGTATGTCAAGAGGAGTACAAGCCGGATCATGATATACTCTTTCCGCTATCATCCTGATTGTTTCATCCACAGGAACATTGGTAAACAGTGATTCTACGTCCAATGAAGCTCTTATCCCTGTGGCCCGTGTTCCCCACAGTAAGTCAACCAATTCCTTTGGAGACTTCAGGCTGAAAGCACAAGGTACATAAGAAGTCAGCAAGCCATTGAGTCGCTTAGCCAGTCTGTATGTGGGTGTGGGTATCTGGCTGATGGTTGGCTGGTTTCCAGGCTTGTGGGTCTTGACGTTTCCATATGCATACCCAGGTTTGTATTCCCCAATAACCTTTGGCAGATGGAGTCCGGATTTCTTGGCGTTCAGTTTCGATCAATCTGTTTACCTTTGTTTTCAATTCGGCTGTAGTGTCTTTCGTTACCCTTTGGAATTTAGTTTGGTCAGAGAGTATGAGGTTCATTTTTGCCAGATATTCGTCTTTTTTAAGAATAACGTATATTGGCGACTTGTCGCCTCTCCTGACAACTATCTCCTTGTTCTCACGAAGGCTCTTAGCTGCCGCTTTGAGCTCGGGGACATTGTGGTGCTTCTGTATTTGCCTCGAATCTTTCCTCCTTCTGCAATAAGTTCTGCTTGCATAATATATATATTATATATATATATATATATATATATATATATATATATATATATATATATATATATATATATATATATATATATATATATATGTCGTACCTAGTAGCCAGAACGCACTTCTCAGCCTACAATGCAAGGCCCGATTTGCCTAATAAGCCAAGTTTTCATGAATTAATTGTTTTTCGACTACCTAACCTACCTAACCTAACCTAACTTTTTCGGCTACCTAACCCAACCTAACCTATAGAGATAGGTTAGGTTAGGTTAGGTAGGGTTGGTTAGGTTCGGTCATATGTCTACGTTAATTTTAACTCCAATAAAATAAAATTGATCTCATACATAAGGAAATGTGTAGCTTTATCATTTCATAAGAAAAAAAATAGAGAAAATATATTAATTCAGGAAAACTTGGCTTATTAGGCAAATCGGGCTTTGCATAGTACGCTGAGAATTGCGTTCTGGCTACTAGGTACGACATATATATATATATATATATATATATATATATATATATATATATATATATATATATATATATATATATATATATATATATATATATGCGAACAAGCCTGAATGGTCCCCAGGACTATATGCGAATGAAAACTCACACCCGAGTTCGAGGTTCGAGTCACTTCTGGGGTGTGAGTTTTCATTCATATATATATATATATAATATATATATATATATATATCCCTAAGAACTCTTTGACCCGGCCAGGATTCGAACCCATGCCGTCCAGGATCACCCCTAAACGTACACAGTACCGTGACCACCGCACCAATGATCGTCTATAAGGATTGGTCAGTCGTGGCGCTTATTAACTAAGCTCCTTGACTGACCAACCCCCGACGACACTCATGCATCCATTTGGGTACAGTTGTTCATCAAATTCTGGCGCATGCACGGTGAAAAACTGTACCCAAATGGATCCATGAGTGTCGTCGGGGGTTGGTCAGTCAGGGAGCTTAGTTAATTAATAAGCGCCACGACTGACCAATCCTTATAGACGGTCATTGGTGCGGTGGTCACGGTACTGTGTACGTTTAGGGGTGATCCTGGACGGCATGGGTTCGAATCCTGGCCGGGTCAAAGAGTTCTTAGTGATATATGGCTTGCGCGTTCATGCAGCTTTCTCACATATACATACACATATATATATATATATATATATATATATATATATATATATGTATGTATATATATATAATATAGGTTGAATGCAATGGAATGCATATATGCTCCTAGCTTGCATGGGGAGCCTCCACAGCTGCGATATATATCATAGGTAGATTCAGTATCACAAAATTAAGCTATTAAATTTTGAATACGTTATTAGGTTTGGTTAAAATTCGGAGCCCTTCATGTCTTATTCAATTATTTGATTAAATCATTAAATCTTCAGTACGAATTGTAATGATCCGAACAAATTGTTTTATTAATATATAGTCCAGGTGTATATACTCTAATATTTTTGGGTGTGGTTGCTGCGGATTCTACAATACATTTTCTTTGTCGTACTAATAATTCAAGATTATTTTGTGCTGACTAGTTAGCAAGAAGTGAATATGTTTTTGTTGTGTGATTCCGTCACTGGGACGATCAACACACACAAACGGACCGATCACTATGTACTCACTGGCAGTTTCCCGCATGATGATCCTCATCTGGTCCAAGGTTATAATGTTGACAAGTCTAGAGTTACCAGTGCACCAAGAGGGACCTTGGCCCCAGGGAAACGTAAGGCCCGTTGTTTGGTACTCAAACCCGTCGTCCTCTACCTCGTTCCACTTTGGTGGCTCTGCAAGCACAGAAATACTATACAAACTTTTGAATGCAATGATCAAATAAAAATTCCATTATAAAACAATAACTTTAAAGCATTACATTCACAAAAATACACACAAACAAGCATCCATACACCACACACATCACAAACACACACACGAGGATACAGCCGACCTCTCCTGATCAGCCCCCTTCTCCTGCCCCTCACTTTCACACTGCTTACCATCACCTTTCAGCCCCACTTGGCCCTCAGCCCACCTCTCCTCATCAGACCCTTCTGCCTCTCAGCCCCTCTCACACCTTCACTCCCCCACAGCCACTGAGACTATATATTATATATAATTCTTGTGTTACAATGCAAGAGTTAGGAATGATTACATAAACATATAAGAAATTGTTCTATGTAAACGACATCACAACCATATCAAAGAAGCAACCAAAGTTACTACATGGTCATATTTGAAGGAAAATGATCAAGTGACTAGACTGTGTAAGAGGGGAGGAAGGGAACTATCAGGGGAAAGCGCCAAGTCATTACGACTGTATAGCACTGGGAAGAGAACAGGATAAGGATTTGGGATGGAACAGGGGGGAACGGGGGTGAGGAAAGGAATGGGGCCCAACCACTTGGACGGTCGGGGATTGAACGCCGACCTGCATGAAGCGAAAACGTCGTTCTACCGTACAGAGCAAGTGGTTGTGTACAAGACGGGAGGAGAACATACAGAAAATTATAAGGAAATTTGTGAGGAGCTACATGCAAGTTTTCATGGTGTTTTCAGGACTGATCCATACCAGCTCCCAGTGCTAGGAGACGAGGTAACACTAGACGAGAGATTGATAGATAATGAAATAACAGCTTAGGAAATATTGGGACATTTATTATTATTATTTGAAAATATAGCTATGGATTAGAAAATATTTCACCGTGGATGTTAAAAGAAGCTGCACATGCCCTCAGTATACCTCTGCCTCAGGACTTTAATGAGACAATTAAGACAGGAATTTAACCCAGCTGCTGGACAATGGTGACTATCATACCAATATATAAGAAAGGAGACATAATAGACACTGGACTACAGACCAGTATCACTAACAAGCATCCCCTGCAGGCAGCAAGATACTCGGAAGGAGAATAAGACTAGTTAAACACCTGGAGGGAATCAGATATATAAACAAGCAAGTGTAAGGTTGTGGGAAAATGGACCAGATGCCAGGAGTCCAAAAGAACATTACACAATAAAGGAAACCATTCCTCCTTGAAAAGGGTAGAGAAAAAGCCCTGAGAGTGGGTGTAAGTCCAAGCCTAATTCCGAACGTATATGTAAACTGGATACCATGAGCTGCATACTCTACAATGGCAAAAGTCAGAACATTGTTCAGGAACCTAAATTATGAGGCATTTAGATCACTGAAACGCGTCTTGTCTGGGAATTACGAGGGGATGGGATGTGGGGAAAGATTGAACAAATTTAACCTGCCATCACTTGAGAAAAAGGAGAGATAGGAGACATGATATATACTTTTAAATTACTTAGAGGATTGACAGAGTAAAATTGTTTGGGTGTCAGTAATTATATAACCGACAATAGAAAGGTGGGGTCCAGGAGCCCATGATCCTGCAGGCACAAATAGTACTGTCTCTGGACTGTATAAACCAATGTTTACTGTATCATTGTCTGGACCAGGGTTTGGGAGAAGCAGCAGCAGCAGCAGCAACAGCAACAGCAGGAGCAGCAGCAATAGCAACAGTTGGAGCAGCAGCAACATACCCGTGAAGAGGAAGTGGATGGCCGTGGGGTTCCGGTAGAGCTTGGGGCGGTCAGTGACGTTGGTCAGCACGGCAGGTCTCTTAGACACGCGACACTCCATGGCGCCTCCTGCTGTTGTCAGCACTGACACCGAGTGGCACGTTGGCAGCACCTGACACCGGCGGTGGCACTCACCTGCAGGAGAGAACCAGCCCCGGTTATGGTGTTTGGCTGGGAAGTTAAGGTACACAGACACGCATACAGACTGACACGGAAGCACGCACAGTGGTGCCGTGACACCCTGGGCCGAGGCCTGACCGTTGCCATTGGCAAGCACCAACACCAGAACAGTTATGGTCAAGCTAGTTGTTTCTGGGACAATTTAACCAAATGCCCATATTTAGAATATAATACCCTCTACTGGAAAATCAGAGAGTTACTGGAAATTACTGGAAGTTACTGGAAATCAGAGAGTTTTCTCGGTATTCTCTCTACCCACTTCTGATCTCGTCTTCACTATTTAACACTCACATGTCTGTCTCTAACATTCTCCTCAAACCTTTTATCAGCCTCTCTGTTGCACCTTCTTGATGCTTTCCAAAAGCGCTTCCCATTTTCTAAATAATTTTTCTCCGTTTTCTCATTCACTTTTTTTGTTTAAGTTTACTCCTTTCAGTTTTGGCTTAAGTTTAATCCTTTCACATATCAATTACTCGCATCATACTCTCGTTTTCTTTCTCTTTCGTTTGCTTTGTATTAATAAAATCCATTTCTTAGTCTTATCATCAGTTGGTTTTGCTGCCCCTTTATCCCACCAAGCAGCGCCTCCCATTCTCTCACAGTTAAGCACACATTTACTGTATACATCTCACACGGCACTAAAGGTTCACTTGTCCAGGTTCTCTATCTCTGAGATCACTATCTGCTCCTCTTCTGTACTCATCTATCAGTTCGCACTCAACTTCACCTTCATTCTCCCGCCTCATGCATGCTGATGAGGTACACTCACCCTTCCAGCACTTGATGTTGTTGACACAGCACCAGCATGTTGTCACACAAGCCTCCGGGCAGCCCTCTCACAGCTCTCACACAAGCCTCCGGACAGCCCTCTCACAGCTCTCACACAAGCCTCCGGACAGCCCTCTCACAGCTCTCACACAAGCCTCCGGACAGCCCTCTCACAGCTCTCACACAAGCCTCCGGACAGCCCTCTCACAGCCCTCTCACAGCTCTCACACAAGCCTCCGGACAGCCCTCTCACAGCCCTCTCACAGCTCTCACACAAGCCTCCGGACAGCCCTCTCACAGCTCTCACATCACTCACAACTCAGGTTGATGGTGGGGGGGGGGGGGGGGAATAAGGGGAGGGGAGATTATCCTGGTCACCACCAGGTATCCCTAATAGTCTACTATATATTTCTACTATATATTTCTATTTCTACTACTATATATCATTCACACTGCGACCCGTTGAGGGTGTGGACACAATGCGACCCAAACGTCTAAAGGTTAGAGCTCCCCCCCCCCTCCTCCTTGATGGTCATGCTTTCTGGAAAGCAATATTCTGAAGGTCCTGAAGGACGTGGCCGGCATCACAACCACTGACATTAGTCAGGAAGGTGATGATATCGTGCTCTTCTTTTCATGTGAGGAAGAACTAGAAAAACACTTCACCAATGATGCCATACTTCGCAAGGAGCACCACCTACATCATCACTTCCCACGTCAGTTCCTGGCCGGAAGAACTGTCTTTACCAGCAGGACCAGCCAGTGGATCGCTGTCCAACCAACTCTCATAGACAATATCGAGGACGAAAATCTGAACCTAGAGTTCACTACTCCATATGCAAAGCAACCCATCGCTGGTTGCTCTAATAGGACCAACCACCGTTTTGTCAGTGAACTGAACGCATTATACCTAGCCAATGGCCTGGACCCCACCACAAGCCCCTGGTGTGGGAAAATCCTAGCAGTCTTAATTTTTTTTCTTTTATGAATTATTACATATTTATTTTTTAATTGACTTTAATATTATATTATTTGATTATTTTAGTTAGTAGTAAGTTAATAATACGTTAGTAGTGAGTGGACTGTATATTCTGATTCTGCTGCTAGAACTTCTCACACAATGGAAGGGACAATTTGTAGCTTAAACCACTTTGAAGTGGCTCCTTCATAAACCACAAATTGTCTACCTCATCTTTGATATATATATTATAAATCATATCACATATGGTGGTCTAATCTACTATTATACTACAGCAAATTAAATTAATAACTACTAATGCTATGTCTACAGTATGAAACATAAAAGGGCCTTAGCTGCTACTGTTGTTAGGGCTTGCTAAGGCTGTGTAACTGTGGCATCAGAATTGGGTGTGGCCCTGTGCCTCAGTGCCACGTAATGGCGACTGTCTGGAGGCCTACAAGGCTTGTTGTACAGCAGGGTAACAAATATGAATAATTATGTTGGGAGCCAGTTTCCTGCTTCACTAACTTCCCTCACAATTACCTGTTTGGGATGTAAGGAATTAATAATGGTTTCCTAAACATATAAGTACATGTATGACATGGAATATGTGTGTAATGCTGAGTAAACGTACTTGTGTGAGCTATAAAGCTCTCTTCATAACCGGCTACCCAACTAATATTATTCAAATGCACTTATAAAATAAAAGTATAAAGCAGAAGAGGTAAAAACAAGAGTTAGTGAGGCAGATCCTGACATAGTTGCAATAGTAGAAACTAAAATAAATGGCATGATCTCGGATGCAATACTAAAAGAGGCAGCGCAGGCCCTCAGCGTGCCTTTGGCAACGATCTTTAATGAATCACTTATGTCAGGAGAATTGCCCAATTGCTGTAAGAGGGCAAATGTTTTCAAGAAAGGTGATAGGGAGGAGGCCCTTAACTATAGACCTGTATCACTGACAAGCATTCCCCTGTAAAATACTTGAAAGAATAATTAGGCTAAGACTGGTTGCACACCTAGAGAAGAATAGGTTTGTAAACAATCTTCAACATGGGTTCTGGAAAGGGAAATCTTGCCTAACAAACTATGATTTGTTGGAGTTCTATGATAAAATAACGAGAATAAGGCAAAACAGAGAAGGTTGGGCAGATTGCATATTTTTGGACTGCCAAAAAACCTTTCATACAATACCACACATGAGACTGCGATTGAAAATTATGATTTGAAAAAAATAATTAAACTAAATGGATAAAACACCTGGAGATAACGATATAATATCAGACCGTCAGTATGGTTTTCGATCTGGAAGATCCTGTGTAACAAATTTACTCAGTTTCTATGATTGCGCCAAAGAAATTTTACAGGAAAGAGATGGTTGGGTTGACTGCATCTATTTGGACTTAAAAATGGCTTTCAACAGACTTCCATATAAGAGGTTGTTCTGGAAACTGGAACACATTGAGGGGTGACAGGTAAGCTGCTAACATGGATGAAAATTTTTCTGACTGATAGAAAAATTAGGGCAGTAATAAGAGGAAGTGTATCGGACTGAAGAAATGTCACAAGCGGAGTACCACAGGGTTCAGTTCCTGCACCAGTGATATTCATTGTCTACATAAACGATCTACCAGATGGAATACAGAATTATATGAACATGTTTGCTGATGATGCTAAGATAATAGGGAAGATAAGAAACCTAGATGATTGTCATGCCCTTCATGAAGACCTGGACAAAATAAGAATATGGAGCAACACTTGGCAAATGGAATTTAATGTGAATAAATGCCATGTTATAGAATGTGGAATTGGAGAACATAGACCCCACACAACCTATAAATTATGTGAGAAATCTTTAAAGAAGTCTGATAAAGAGAGCTAGGGGTGGTTCTAGATAGAAAACTATCACCTGAGGACCACATTAAGAACATTGTGCGAGGAGCCTATGCTACACTTTCTAACTTCAGAATTGCCTTTAAATACATGAATGACGAAATACCAAAGAAATTGTTCATGACTTTTGTTAGACCAAAGCTGGAATATGCAGCGGTTGTGTGGTGCCCATATATTAAGAAGCACATTAACAAACTGGAAAAGGTGCAAAGAGATGCCACTTAGCGGTTCCCAGAACTGTAGTACAAGATTTACAAGGAGAGGTTAGAGGGATTAAATATACCAAAATTAAAAGACAGAATAATAAAAGATGACGTACGTAAAAGATGACGTACGTAAAAGATGACGTACGTAAAAGATGACGTACGTAAAAGATGACGTACGTAAAAGATGACGTACGTAAAAGTACAAAAATGTACAAAATAGTAACAGGAATTGATAAAATTGATAGGGAAGATTTTCTGAGACCTGGAACTTCAAGAATAAGAGGTCATAGATTTAAACTAACTAAACAAAGATGCCGAAGAAATATAAGAAAATTCACTTTCACAAAGTGGTAGACGGTTGGAACTAGTTAGGTGAGAAGGTGGTGGAGACCAAGACCGTCAGGAGTTTCAAAGCGTTATAAGACAGAGTGCTGGGAAGACGGGACACCACGAGCGTAGCTCTCATCCTGTAACTACACTTAGGTAATTGCGCGCGCGCGCGCGCACACACACACACACACACACACACACACACACACACACACACACACACACACACACACACACACACACACACACACACACACACACACACACACACACACAGGAAGCAGCCCGTAGTAGCTGTCTAACTCCCAGGTACCTATTTATTGATAGGTGAACAGGGACATCAGGGTGAAAGAAACTCTACCCATTTGTTTCCGGCCACGCCGGGGATCGAATTCGGGCCCTTAGGACTACGAATCCCCAGCGCTGTCTACTCCGCCGTCAGGGCACCCTGACGGCTGCCAGGGTGTACGTGTGTGTGTGTGTGTGTGTGTGCATGGTTATATATGCATGTATGTATGCTTCTGTGTGTACAAGCACGTACTCACCCAGCCACGCATGTATCTTCCCGCTCTACCCCGTGCGTCAGGCGTGAGCTGTGACGTCAACAGTCCCCAATAATTGCAATCTTGTGTTGCAATGGTTGCCACCCGACCCCGTTGTCACGACAACTGGTGAACAAAACTACACTGACCTTCACTACAGTTTCTTGTTGACATTTGCTGGAACGTTTCCTGACTGCTACAAAATACTGAACTATAGTGTTTGTCTGAACTATACTGAAGACTGAAC